ACACCTGAAAACTATAATATAATATGTTGTCCCAAACTTTAATTCAGCACCTTGTGGACAATACAGTTTGGTTACCTCTTGTCCCTGTTCCCCTCTATACACTGGTTACAACTGGTTTCCAGTTGCATCAGATTTCCCAGTGTACTGTAGCCTTGGGACTCCCAGCATATACCACCATCCATCAACAAAAGGGGAGATCCCACTACATCTGGGGAAACATAGTTTGATCAAGGAGGACACAAGGGTCATGAGAGATCCAAAATGAGCCTCTGATTTGAGCTGAGTGTTTTTTTGGAAAAAATATATTTCACGGGTTTTTTATTTATTTATTTTTGTGGCCCATCAAACTTCTCAGCACAACCCCTGCTATTATTATTTGCATTCACAGAATTGTAGAAAATTGGGGCTGGAAGGGATCCCAGGAGGTCATCTAGTCCAACTAGTTCTAGTCATTTGTTAAGATGTTGCTTTTGCAAAGCAGATATAATGACAAAGAGACAGATTTTTAGGGACATTTCAGTGTCCTGAAAATCTACCCTGAAGCAGGCAAGCTGATCCCACAACAAAGCTGTTGCCATCATTATCAAACCTGTCCAGATCTCTCTTTAAAAGGGCACACCATTTGCTCAGCTTGATTAATGCTGACTGTTTTGCTCCCAATTTAAGCCTTATACTATGAAAGACTGTGAATATTTTTTTTCTCCCTAAGTCATACTGGGCACGTGTCTACAAGATGCAGTAATGTGCATTAACCTATTCTACTGCATTAGCACATCATGGCAAAAATCATGCTAATGTGCAGTAGAATTAGTCAAGCACGCATTAAGCATCACAAAAAATTTGCCTTCGCTACCGCACATTAGTCTGAGCTAATGCACCTTTACATGAATGGTGCATGCCCCCAGCGGCTGGGGGGGACACAGCTGCGCTGGCAGTGGCAGGAGCATGGTGGCAAGACCCTGGCAGTGGGGAGCTTCCGCAGATGCTGCCGGCACTTTTGGGGGGGGGGGGGGGGGGGGGGG